CAGCAGGCGAATCACACAGTCAGTCTGTTGCGGGCATTAAGAAAACAGGATCTCGCGGCACGCCGCCGTTTCTAAGCCTTTCCACCCACCCCACCCACCCCACGCCGTGGTTTTCTTAGCTTCGGCCGGCACCCCAGGTCAATCCGAGCCGGGATCGGGGATCGGGGAATGTTTAGGTAAAATGACAATAAGGAAGCGCTGGACCGCTCCGGATGTCGCCAGTCCGCAGTCTGCCACCCACTTGGGATGACAGGAAGACGCACACACCTCCATCCACACCGCCCAGAACACCGCAGACTTGGGGAGAGAGATTTTAGGAAACCAACAAGAATTTAAACAAAAGAACTCTCTCTCACAGCACACAGGCTCGACACAGGTGCGAACTGGCGCGCCAACAAGAAATCACGACCTCACAGACTTGGGCAAATGACAAGAGCGCGCGCCGCAGGCGAAGAGAAAATTTGAGCGGGGCTCCTGTTCTCTCTCTCTTCTTCACACTCGTGTGTGTGGGCCCTTTCTTAGGGCCGCGCCTGCGGCGCGACGTTTTTCTTAGATTTTTGCGGAAATCGCTCAGCGTGGTTTCTTAATGGTAAGGTTTCTTAATGCCCGCAACAGACTGTACTTGTTCAGCCCTCGCTCCGACGGGATTACAGCCGCGGCGGGTAGCATTTCTTTTTTCCTTGTCGCAGCCCGCCCTGTGCACTGGGAACGCACGGGACGGCGCGCACTGGCACTAGCACAGGCGTAGCTTACGACACTTGGCCAGACAGCATGTCCTCGCCTGGCAGGAAGGGCATCAGGTGGGACGAGCCAAACCTGCAAGCGAACGCCGAGTACGCCGCCGCCAACCCCAAGATGAAGATTGACGAGCCAAAGACACCCTACCATTATGGCGGGCAGCCGGGGCCGGCCGGGCTCGGTTCCCCTCCAGAGCTAAGCCTCGACGGTGGAAGCCCGCGAGGCAGCGCTGGCGGCAGCGGCAGCGGCGGCGGCGCGTCGGGCGGCGCGCCGGGAGGTGACGAGGGCGGCAGTTGCGACCGCAGCAGCGCTGCTGAAGCCGCCAACGGCGAAGGAGATGGCGCCTACCACGAGAAGACGCTCACCGCGGGGATGCACGACCCTGTCGCCTTATCGGCGAGCGCGCTTGAGCGGCGGCGCGACGGAGGTGGCGCGGGCGGGAGGACGAGAGGTGCGCGGCACGCGGGCTTACGGCCCGACCATCTCACTCGTAGGCGGCGAGGAGGAGGAGACCTCGCCGGTGGCCGGAAAGAAGCAGAAAAAGTGCGCCCGCCCGCCACACTCGTCGACCGCCCGCAGCCCCACCATTCTCGGCGCCGCGTCGCGCCCGCATGTGCGACTGTTCTGGTCGAGCCCGCGCCGCAGCCTCCGGGCGAGAGAGCGTGGCCCTCGATCCAGCCTCCTCTCCCTCTGCAGGTTCGACGAGATGCGGCGCGCGCACTATCGGACCGGCGGGCTGGCGGCGCTGCGAGCACAGGCGGAGGCCGATGACGACGAGGACGAGGACGAGTCGCAGCCGCCGCCGGCGGAGGGGTAGTGTCGCCGCACGCCTCAGGCTGTCTTGCGGGACACGAACATTGAGACGACCCTTTCAGCTTTCACTGACCCTTTCACACCACACAGAGTCGGGTCGGGTGACTGTCGGGTGACGGCGCATTAGCAGGTCCCCGGACCCCCCGCCCAGAGTGCGGTGTCTACGCGCGTCGCGGCCGGCGCTGTCGCTGTGTTACTGTTAGTGTGTGTTTGGGCGGCCCAGGGCCAGAGGGGGCGCAGGCCGCAGGGGGCGCGCCGCGCGCGGCGCCGCGGGGGCGGGCGCCGCGTGCCGGTGGCCCGGTGCTGAGCGCGCGCCGCGGTGTGCGGTTCGTTATGTGTATGTGTATGTC